CGAACCGAGATCCAACTTATGACCATTCCAAAGCAACGCAAATTCCCGATATCCACTGGGAATGGCCGAAGATAGCATACCCGCAAACATCTGGAGGAATCCTGACCACCTCCTCCTGAGAACATGATGTAATACTTTATTCCGATCCTAACGACAATCCAACCCTTGGAGGGAGACTCCATCGTGCAGTTTCTGCAAGCGTTGCACCGAATCCGGCCCCACTGGCCTCTCAAAAGCTGATCAGAGCTTCTGGATCTCTTCCTGAGATCCTCCACTAACTTCATATGGCCTGAACCTCTCTACTCGAGGTACTCCTAATCAATCTTCCGCCCTCGGGCTCTGGAATCCATATCATCCAGTGTCTCGCACCCTAACCCACTCACTGGCTCAATTGCCACAACTATACTGCAATAACTGGAACAATATCTGATCTTAACCGGGCTACAAACTATCCCTGAGACTTGGTCCCTAATCCTGAATGTGCACTAGATCGCACAATCCTTGCCGCCTGATCTTAGGCGAACTCAAAATCCTGGCAGTCCTTCCGCTATCTGGCTCACCACCGGAGCCGGGACCAAACCCTGGTCCTTCTCCTTGCATGCTCATCCACAGTCTGCACAGCAGCTTTCCCCACGGTTCAATCATAATCAAAATTTCTCTGTCCTAGGCTTCTTAGATTCTCCAAAACTTTCACCGATTCGAGTATGGATACTGTGCTTTCAGTAGTACGGGGCCAATACTACCTTCCACACCTATCCATACTTTCCTCCGGAATCATCACGGATCCTCTAAGTCACCTACTCCCATGATGTACTAAATGTCCACCAAAGAGCGACACAATATCCACCGAAGCACCTACTAGGCTTCCAACCTCACTGAACCGCCCCACTATCTTACTGGAGCATAACCTAGGCTTTCCTAGGTTCCCAACCTCACCCTGCCATCAGCTGCTGAGGAACTCCTCATGATACCAACCATCCACCTCCTGGATATCGTCATATCCACTTAGTGGCTGACTCCCATCGCTCAAAAGTTCCACAAAGAACGAAGCAAGCAGCATTCGTGCAGAAACACTCCGATCCAAAGAACTGCCATAGAACATTCCGCCCACATATCGCAACCCACGCTATCCACATCCATCCATCCTCACTGTCAGCTACCTTATGCATGCAAATTATACACAAAACATGATCTAATAGACTGTCGAATAATCGACTCTACCCTAGGACCACAACCAGACAAGGAACAAGAAATTAGGCCAAATCAATTATTCTAAGGCTATAAGATCCTAACCGTGTACAATTTTAAAAGTATACACGTAGCAGTTACTACTACCAATAATCACTCTCATTCTAGCAGGGCATCAAATATTCCCAAGGCTACAAGCATCACATATCAGGCCAATCTATTGATTACTACTCAGCACTAGCATGCAAGTCTACCAGCTCATACAGCATATAATCATCTCCCCTAGCCCTAACTAGCATGCGATTCTCAGATTCATAAATCAGATCATAACAGATAACAAATGTGGGTATTCTGGGGAAACTTACTTAAGCTCGGCATGATTGCATGCACCACACCCTTTCTTGTCTTAGAAATTCTTTACTTAAAACATTTTTCTTTTGAAAACTTTACAAATCCTCAGTTTGAGTTCAGACTCACCCGAAAGTATGTCCGAATCCCTCAAACCAAGGCTCTGATACCAACTTGTAACAACCCAAAAATCAAGGGTAAAAATTACATTTTTAATATGCCCAAAACATATACATTATTTTATTCCAACATTCCAAACCATGGCTAATTAAAACATTATGAGAGTTCATCCCAAAATCATTCATTGCGGAAATCATAGGTGTGTGCACTGCGATCAATCCGAGCCCTTCTCTTCCAAATCGATGATACCTGAAACCAAAACTGTAAATTGTAAGCACGAAGCTTAGTGAGTCCCCCAGAGCATACCCCACACACCATTCACATAACACATATCATAATAGCTAAGTTATCTCTACCACCTAATCCATTCATATGAACATATAAATAAGCCATGGAAACCCTCCAGGGTCTTACACCTAGTGCCACAGGAACCCCCACGTGGTCTTCCTGCCTTGGGAACCCCCACAAGGTCTTCCTGCCAAACATTACATAATGCAAACTATACATACAAACATATAAGCTAAGCATACAAACATATAAGGATGCCCTGGAAACCCTCCAAGGTCTTACACCGGGTGCCATGGGAACCCCCACATGGTCTTAGCCCACTGCCATGGGAACCCCCACATGGTCTTAGCCTGGAAAGCCATGGGAACCCCCACATGGTCTTATGTCCAACTGCCTCAGGACCCACCCCCCCCCCCCCCGGGGTCTTCCATGCAAGTATCACAAAGACAACTACCATACCAAATACCACACAATGAACAAGCATACAACATATATAACTGTTTCCCATGGGAACCCCCGCATGGTCTTAACATAATACATAATGTATCAACAGCACATTCGCAACAATCATCACAACTAGATAAATGGGTCGGCCTTGGTGCCTTAGACCCATTGGTCTGGTGGGAAGACTCACCTCGCACTGTCGAAATCCCGCAGTCGAAACTCTAGTTGCTGGACTAACAGGGTAAGACCCAGTAAGTCCCAACGTACTACTCCAACTCAACTGCCTGCAATCATCATGTGCTTAACCTGTCACGACCTTGAAATACCACAACCGCCCTCCGGATCAACCCTGGTCTGAGTCAAGGTCCACAATCAAGCTCAACAATCCATGTTGACCTCAACTCGTCGAGTCTAACCAGCCACTCGTCGAGTTCCTTGCTTATCTCGTCCACTCGCCGAGTCACTTGAGTGACTCGCCGAGTTACTTGATGTTCACGGCCATATACTCCCAACCGAAAACCCATGACCGTGAACCCTTGGCCGTGAACCCATAACCGTAAATGAGAAAACCCTCTCGACTCGCCGAGTCACTTGCACGACTCGTCGAGTTCCCTTAGTCCATCATGTTTACGACCCTTTCCAGTGGGATTCAAAGTCCCAAACTTCAGATCTATCCTCTATTAGTGTAGATAACACGTAAAGTTGCAAACTTTACGTGCATGCAAGGCCTCACATGGCCATAATCACCAAAACTAACCCTCAAATAAGATTTCCATGCATGAAAAGGGAATAAGATTAATAAAAGGTGCAACTTTATGATATTTGGGACCTAAGAAGGTCCAGATCTGGAACCATATCCTTATGATAGGTCCAGATCTAAGCTTTCTTACATTTCCCTCAAGAATGGCCATAATCTTCCTCAAGAACTGTAAGGATCTAAGGCTGAAAGTAACAGATTAGTACCTCAATCTGCTTCCCAACACGAAATAGATGCTCAATCTAGTGCTTCTCCCTCGTTACTTCCTCTTAAGGCTTTGAATTCTCCCCAAAATCCCAAGGATAAGCTCCCAAATGCTCACACTTCACACTCCAGTGAGTTTGCGGCCAAAAGAGGTCTTTTATGGTGTTAAGGGAGGCCACAAGGGTTTATAATGATGTTTATATAGGGGGCAAACCCCAAAATTAGGGTTTTCTCCCTACATCACTGACTCGTCGAGTCAGTCCTCCCAACTCGCCAAGTCGGTCCCGATCCGTGACCACGATTAAATGCCTCCACTTGACGAGTTGGACTCCCAACTCGCCGAGTCCATGCACCATAACCCTAAAATTCAACCAAACCCAATAATACCTGGATCAGATGTTACACTCTATGAATGTCGTTTTATATTTTTTTTAAGAAACACGCGTCTCTCTTCTTAGAGGGAAAATGAAATCCCCAAAAATTTTAAACCCCGCTTTCTTCTTCGACATTCGTATTGATCTGTTCTCTAACATCTCCTCTCCTTTGTCGCCGCCCCTCACCCACCTCCACTACCTCCAACCCACACCGACTCTTCAAGCCTGCACAACGTAAGCTAGGGATTTTTTTGATCGGAGACTTACGCCCCATTCGCTTCACTCTCGATTGCAACGCCATTCAGGAACAACGACTCCTCCACTGCAATGGTGTTGTGACTCCTTAGGCTACAACATCGGTGACTACACACCTATCAATTAATCTCTCTCATACTCGTCATAGAAGAACGACAAGTAATCTATCACCATCGTTACATCAGTATCGACTCCTCAGGCTCACTTGTCCACCTCCCCTCCACCCTACTCCATCTACTAAGACTCCTTAGGTTTGCAAGCCCTACGTCTGATTGCACTAATGTACGAAAACAATGCTTCTACCCTGCCCTATTTCTTCAGTCGTTCAACAAATAAGAGGAAACACAATTTCTCATTCATCTCTCGACTTCATCTTCTCAATCAAGCAAAAAGGCTTTGGATTTTTTCCTGCATCAGCGATTTCACCTGGTACTTTCGATTTCTCCTTTATGGCTCTGTTTTTTTCCTACATCTACTTCTCATCTCTGAAAACAACTTGATTTCACCATTTCAGCTTACATCTATTGGTTTAGAACTTTAGATCGTTCAGGGAATTTGGGAAAAGAAATGCCATACCTATGGCCATACCTTCTTAAGTTAAACGAGTACATTTTTTTTACATAAACGAGGTTCATATTTCCTTTTTTTTGTTTTTGTCAAATTTTCAAATTGTGATTGTTTTCTTGGCCAGGTTTGCAAGTTCAAGTGCAGTTGCAGCCAAATAATCTTCAGGGGGTATCTTTAGTTGGTTTACAGGAGGATGTTCTTCTAGCCTCCCTCCTCTAGACTTTCCACTTAAGGGAATTGAACTCCCATCCTCTCTACCTGATCATGTTGAAACCGAAAAGACCAAAATCACAACCCTCCCAAATGGAATCAGAATTGCCTCTGAAACTTCAGCAGTAAGCAACTATTTTCCTTATTCCTATATCACCAAGGTATTTCATATCGTCATCTCATGTACCTGATTATTTGAACAGAATCCTGAAGTTTCCATTGGGTTGTATGTGAATTCTGGCTGAATGTATGAAACACCAATTTCATTTGGAGCCACACATCTTCTAGAATGTATGGCTTTCAAAAGCACAGCTAACAGAAGCCACTTGAGAGTTGTGAGAGAAGTGGAAGCCATTGGGGGCAATGTTACAACTTATGCTTCTAGGGAGCAAATGGGTTACACTTATGATGCTTTAAAGAATTATCTTCCTCAAATGTTGGAGTTACTTGTTGACTCTGCAAGGAATCAAGTGTTCTTGGATTGGGAAGTCAAAGAACAGTTATTTGTTTGCCTATTTTCCTTTCTTTCTAGTTCCTTTCTTGGGTTTTCTTTTAGATTATTTCTTAAAATTTATATTATATTGTTTTATAGATCCAGAAAGTGAAAGCTGAGATCAGTGAATATGCCAACAATCCAGAAAGCTTGCTGTTAGAGGCAATTCATTATGCTGGATATGCTGGTGCATTAGCCAATCCTCTTCTTGCATCAGAAGGCTCATTAAACAGATTAAACAGTTCAATTTTGGAAGAATTTGTAGCTATAAGTCATACTCATAGATTTAGGGGCAATTTCTTTTTCATTTTTTGTGCTTAATGCGTTAAGCACTTAAACTAGCCTTCCATAAGCATTTCCTGCACTAAAGTTCTAAGCATGCATCTGTTAAAGGTAAAACTTCTGTTGAGCTAAAATGCTACTCATAGCAACATAATTTACAGGTTGAGATCCAAATGTTGTAGGATTACACATAAATCTTGAAGATAACCATTATTATATGTCATAGGATCCATATGCAACATGGGATTTCCAGGTATTCCATTCCCAGGTGCTTGTTGGGATTTAAGCAAGTTACTCAAAACATCATCTGGCTGATGTGAACATAAACCACCAACCATCAACATCAAGAACATGACTGACCGGATTCATGCTAAACTTATAGATTCTGCCCCTGCACCATTCCAGGAAGCTGCCTTGACTGCATTAACAAGTCCACCAGAGTACTGTAAATCATTGAGAAACGTAAGGAAACAAAAACAATGTAGGTGTTATTTGTTCTGTTTTGACAACAATTGGTGTGTTGATACTTAGGATTACGAATCAAAAAGAGATTGTCTGTTCAAGTTGCTTGGAGAAAGTACCCCACAAGAGCTTCAAGTATTGGTTAAAATATTCACATCATTTTATCAATTTAGCCACTGAAATATATATATATATATATATATATATATATATATATATATATATATATATATATATATATATATATATATATATATATATATATATATATATTATAAGTTATAACAATACTTTAATCATTTAAGTGTTCACTAATTTTTTTTAAACAGAATCAAACAACTGTGAGATCATCTGTTTTGGATGTTTTTTTGGAGATAACAAAATTATTTGACCTTTATCTCATGGAAACAGTCTTAGATGATGAAAGTGAGGTATTATAATTTATATATTTACTTATATTGTGGGTCCTATTTAAATACCAATCAAGAATAATCATAAATTTTGTAATTATTAATTTTTTTGTTATCTTGTTGGCTAATTGATACTATTATTAGTTGCAGAAAAATATTTTAATTGCATTAGAAAATGCTGGGATATTTACATCGGGTGGTTTGGTTAAAGACAAGGTAAAAAGTAAAACTAATTAGTAACGATCTTTTAATTAAAAAATCGTATCATATATATGGATTTGAACCGATTCAGTTGAAAGTTGCAGCCTCGTGTACATTTCCAATTTTAGCCCCACTTGTTGTTCAGATTCTGTTACATTCTTCTCCTTTTCAAAAAAGTTGTTGATCTTTTCCATGTGTGACATGATTTGAAAAGAATTGGATGTGGATTGTAGATGTATATGGTGATGAGATCATTAGGCTTCAATTGAGGTCATTTTTCTTTTAACCTTGAGAACTTTAACATATGTTTATCAATAGAAAGATGCTTTCAAGGTGTTACACAGTTGTATCTTGTTATGTTGATATGTATATGTGCTTGAGTGTAGGCTGGTGTCAAAAAGCTTGTAGATGTTCACTTTTCCCTCATTTGACCACTCACATTTGGCACAAGTATTTGCAACTAACATTCCTTGTTTGATTCTTCTATTAATTATATTAGCATATTAATTTTTTGACTTTTATTTGATCAGGTCACAAGAATTATCGGAGCAGGGGTTCATTAGTCTTAAAGAATTATGAAAGGGAAGATGCAACTCTACTTAGTTGGAATTTGATGTTTATCATCTTTTTGTATATCTTTTTAGTTTGTATAGCATTACTTTGCAGAAGGTGTCCCTTGATACGCAATGTAGTATTAGGTTATATAGTTAGGGAAAACCTCCTAATAACAATGTACAATTAGATCCCCTTAATATCAATGTATTACAATTTTTTGACATGATGTTATTGGATGAAATTGATTGTTTTGGTATATATTTGTTTACATATTTTTGTAGTATGCGTAAATAAGTATCGTAAAGACGCATTGTAAATGCATATCGTAAATGGTTACTGAAGTTTATGACACACAAATGCGTCTCATCTTCATTTATGACAGGGGCTTCCTTGATATGCATTGTGTGTCATAAACACGCGCGTCGTAAGGTTACGACACGCAAATGCATGTCGTCTTCCTTTATGACAGGGCCTTCCTTGATACGCATTGTGTGTCGTAAATGAACGTCGTAAATGCGTGTCGTAACTGCGCGTCGTAAATGCGCGTCGTCTATAGACAACGCGCAAAAGCATGTCGTCTCTCGTTATGACAGAGCCTTCCTTAACACGCATTTGCGCGTTATCTGAGCGTTTTATGACACGCATTGCGCATCGTAAAAGGTTGTTTTTCTAGTAGTGTGGTTCTATTCCTTTTTCCCTCTGAACGCCCTAGGCATTCGGAAAATTAGAACACGCGAATATTATAACATATGAATCAATCCTATACCCGAAGCATATGGGACACGATTCATAATGTCTAACATAAAGACATGATACTCAATTAGTCTTTCGCTATAATGTTTCTATTTGCCATGTTCTCATAATTTTGATTGTAAAGAGGGATGTCGTAATCATAACAAAATTTTGAGAACGCAATTAACATTTCCATATATAGAATATCCTTATGTTGAACCATTCCAACATAAAATTCATATATATTTGACTAAATTTGATTAAAATCTCATAATCTAAGCTTTTAGAATTGAAATGAAGTATAAATTCCTCTCCCCTAATTATAGCAAAACAACTTTTCAAACCCTGCCACTTTGCGAATTGAAACTTTTGTTTTATATAATTAACATTGCTAAATTGCAACACTTACCATAATAATTATGCTCCCACTAGCATAACAATTATTATTAGCATAACACTTATGCTCCCACTAGCTTTGACATGTATTCAGAAATCAACTGGACTTCTAGAAATCAATACTTATTGACTTTCATTACCAAAGTTCAGATTTCAGATACGAGATGCTTCGATAAGACTTTATCTAGGCTTCTCAAACTCATACACCTTTCCTTAGATAGCTCATATGTGTGTCTAAACATTTTTAGAACTTATAGCAATAAGTCTCAAATGTTTAGACCCTTTGCCTTTTCTCACAATTCAAATTATGAAGAGGGATGTCGTAATCATAATTGAATTTGAGAATGCAAATATCACTATTCTATATCCTTAAAATCTATTTAGTGAAAGCGTTTCCTCACAATCATTTTCATGAATTGGAGAGAAACCTTATGACACTTAGATTTTATGGTGTATGTGTTCCTATCCATCTGAATTTTTCATGACCATAATCATACGACATGGTTAGTGACAAATCCAAACACATATGGACTGAACTTGTTCAATCTTAATTTCTTGCTATCTGGCAGCACAAGGGACTACCATTGCTTCCAGGTTGTTATGCAACCAATTGAGAACTCTCAGAACTCACATGCATAGTCAACTTTAACTGGAATGGGCATAAAACAAGCATATTTCAACACGATAGGTCACAAACCTCAAGTCGTGTGCTAGTGTTTAACAATAGGTTTATTCTTTATTAGTTCTTGAAACTTGTCAAGATCTTTAAGACTCCCACTGACCTCTTGACATATATGATTCACTTTGTCAAGAAACATTACTTGACAAACCAATATTCAAGAGTCAGTACGGATTCTAATCAAGACAAACACTTCACACAACTGGCCTTAGTTGGTCTTTGTTTTAACCAAAAACATCACAACTCACCAATTTCAAATGTACAAGAGTAGAACACTTTTACTCTACATTTGATAAGTGTTTTAAACCTTTCTTAAGATCATGTCACTCAGAGTTACGATTTTGGAGTATAACTCTAAGACTTGATTTCGGAACGAAGGATGACTCATCTTCTTGATTTAAACTATTTTAACAATTCACGATTCCTCTTCTTAGCCATACAAATGCACTAAGACGTCTTTAGAGGATCAATTGTGATATGGTTTTTCCATAAACATTAAGATGATCATAAAGCACGATACTAAACTACTCTCCCATCTTTTTAGATAGGATAAACTTTTATCTTTCTGCCTAATTTGATTCTTCTCATTCGTTCTGCCATACATTGAACCTTTTCAAATGTTTCAGGATTATACTTAAACTTATAAGCATAACCATGTTTGCTAAACTTTATTAAATCATGACGAATAGTCTTATCGATCTTTGTGGTGGATCTTGACCAGCGCACACCCAGTGTACCAAATCCCTTAGTCCTTCAGTTGACTCACATGTACATGTGAACAAGGAATTAGTCTTAATTTACCAAAGATGAAAATTCTCATTCATCATACAATACAACTTGCATGATTCCAAGTTTTTGTCTAATTGAAACTTGGGTGATGAGAATCTTTCCTTATTTGGAAAATACTCTACACTACCACCAACGAAAGAATCAAATTCATATTGCTAACATAGAAACATACAAACATCAATTTTCACAAATGTCATTGCAAGGAGATATAATAAAATAAAACAAAATTTTATTTATTTATAAAATGTAGAAAAAACTTTTCCTTACAATGCAATTACAAATGAAAACTATGTTATTACATATTTCCTAGCAATCTATCATAATTCCTAAGCAGCAGCTCATAAATCCGATCTTCGAACCATGCGATTGAAATCCATCTTCGCGATCAGATTCAACATACTCTTCCGTTAAGCTTCCTTCCTTTTGTATGATCCTACAAAACATCAAAATGCAACCTTGTCACATCATGTATTAAGAATCAACAATTACGAACTTAATAGAGTTAGACAGTAGACTTACCTGAAGCAGAGTCAAACTTTTCGATTCTACCTTTTCTTAGATCTTTCAGGTAGTCAGGTAGCTTCGCAACCAATGCCCCTTCTCTTGGAAATGGAAACATATGGACTCTTTGGGAATGGTACACGGGACAATCTCAAACTTAGCCTTTCTCTTTCCCTTTGAAAGAGAAATCTTTTCTGGACTTCCAATGTTTCCATTGTCAATGTCCATGGAAGTTTGGGGAGTAGATCTTCCAATCAAATTTGCTTTTCCAGTGTGCCAAATCATTGTTGATTCAGCAGCAACAAGCAAATAGG